TCGTTCATGGCCTCACTCTCCAGAAGCTTGTATCTAATGAAAGGTCACAGAATAAGAACATAACATTATTTATGATTGTTTTTGTTTTTTGTTTTTTTGATTTTGTTTGTTTGTTTTTTTTTTTACTTGTGTGCAGTTTTATCACTTCACTCTACACTTCCACATATGTCGGTGTCTGTGACGAGTTGATCTTTGTATTCGGGGTCAGGCTGCTCCGTGGCCTCAGTGGGTGTGGGAGGAGAAGCAGGGCCCTTGGTGTTAAAACTACAGCTGCCCCCGGTGTGGAGGAGACAAATTGCGTCGATGACAGTCCTCAGTTGCGCACAGGCACTTCAGTTACTCCTGGGTGTAAATGACTTGTGGATGGAGGAAGGAAGCATAGAGTGGAGACAAAAAAAAAAAAAAAAAAAGAAAAAGAAAAAAGAAAATGAAACGGCCATTTAGGGGCAAAGGTGCCGTCCTGATGTTCAGACCAGGGCGCGGAGCAACCAACAGTCGATGCTGTTTATCCGCCTATGGCTCCGCGCGTTCATGCGCGCATTTACAAATTCAAGGAATTACGCACTTGAAATTGAGCAAGTAAAAAAAAAAAGTTATGAAAAAAGTTTTCCTAAAGTTAAAAAATGGCACTTAAAAATACTTATAGTCTATTTTTTTGAAAAAAAAAGAAAAAAGAAATCCAGGTTATACTTTAAATTCCTACTCTGACGTGGTCGCAGTGCCATCTGAACAGCTCACACCTGGAACAGTTTTCCCTGTGAACTAAGACAAATGGGGTTTTATGACCACAGCCCGGGGACGCCATTCTCCTCCATATGCTTCGTTTGCTCATGTCGCTGCATTAGGTGGTGTAATAACACACGGTGTCTGTCTTTGAAGAACACATGTTGATGTTTTCACGTGTGGCTCAGATCACACCTCTACAGGAGCTCTGCTGCGCCTGTTTGGAGTTGGCACGTTTCTCATCACACGGTGGAGTCACTGCTTCGAACCATGGAGGTCCCATAAAAACAGACTAATGTAGCGGGTAGAGTCAGTGGAACAAAGAAAAACAATATTATTTCGATAATAAAAAATGAAGATATCAATCTATCTACTTCTTTCTAACATGATGTTAATGAGCTGTGATAGTCGCACGAAACAACATAACACTATACTACAACACACAACACTAGGTGTGTGTTCAAAGTGTCAATTGATGCGAGGTTATTGATCGACCAATCAGCGCTGCTCAGCCTTTTAAAACCGCAGAATCAGGTCTGTTGCAGGACAGACTGCCCCGGTGCCTCCGTACTTCTCACCCTGTGTTTTTTACCAGGGGTCCCTAAATCAGTTAAGTGTGAGACAAGATGAGTTTGGACATTGGACATAACTTGTTAACGTACATTAATACTACTACTAATAATAATAATATTTATAAAATAATAATAATAACCTATAAATGAGCTATAAATGCAGATACATACCCATATAAATTAATTTATATTATATATATTTTTTATATATATTATTATTATTATATGTGCTTGTGGTAAAGAAAACATTTCCTACTGTATACTCACATGTTTCATGCTACTTTTCCACATGCTTCCTATTATTTATATTATGATTGCAGTGGAGTCCAAACTGTTTAAATGTGCAGTACTGGCTCTGTCCTCCTGTTGAGGCCTGCACTTGTTTAAAAGACCGTAAAACTACGAACAAAGGACACATGAGAGACAACAGCAGCAGCAGCAGCAGCAGCAGCAGCAGCGCCGCTGACCTCGACAGGGATCCCAGTCACTCAGTAGGTCATATGCTTGGAAGCAGCCATGTTGAACAGATGTACAGTGACTTAGCTTTAGATTGGTGAAGGGCGTTCGGGAAGGGCCGGGGTGGGAGTGTATAGGGACATATTGGAAGACGGTGTGGGATGGCACTGAGGATGTAGGGCCGTTTTGGATCAGAGAGTCAGCGCGCAGCAGAGCGGACAGACCCAACAGATGATGTGGGCCTGTGGGAGTTTTCGTGTGACGGGTCATAGCCAAATGGCGGTGCAGAAAGATTCACTGAACTGGAATTCACATGTGGGCAAGGCTCACTGGGCCGTTCTCATACTGGGGAGTTACACATGAAAACGGCCACCGAGTTTTGACTCTGTTCTGTCCAGTTTTACTGTTAACTGTCAACACAGGTAAAAAACCGGAACACAAAGGCGTCATGTCCTGGTGGCTGTGTTTGTTGAGGGTAAGAGGCATTTAGTAAATGATGACAATCAGCAGGAGGAGAAACCAAAACAATGAAAAGTAGCAGAAGATAATTGCTGAATATACAGTTCTCCGTAGTTCAAACTGACAACACGTCAACTTTTGTAAACATTAACATCCAGACCTATGTGTATTTGTGCGGACTACACAGTCGCAGTACCAACGAGCACCGAGTGTACCGACACAGAATGTCCTCAACTCAGCCTCGTCTCTGACCGTGTCAGCGACCCGAGTATGGAGCGCAGCAAAAGTTCTTAAATCAAATCAAACTGATTTTTCTATGTGATTTCACCGTGTTGTTTTTTTTTTTTACTACAGT